TCTTGCTTGTTTTCCTGTAACTCAACAGGCGATACCTTTGAACACTTCTGTTAGTGCCTGATGCTGAAGGCAAAAGATACAAGGATTGAGCAGATCCTTGAGTTGCTGCAGAAATATCCAGAGCTCTCAGGGAAATATGTTTTTGATCTCCCTTCAATCCTGTGTATTCCACGTCACAACATAGCCATTCCAAATTATGCAAAGCTACATGCCAAGTGATAGAATTTATGCTATTCATGTACATATAATATGAGCCAAGCCAACCTTAAGTCAAAACAGGTACATTTCATAAGTTTAACTCCAGCCACATATATTTATATGCATTAGCTATGGATAGCATAGGGAAGGGTTAATACCCTTGTGGCATTTGTTTTGCTGTCTGTGCCCCTGTTCAAAAGATTTAACCTCATTTTCTGTCCCTGTGACAGTTGGATTTTGAAAAAAATGGCTTGTTGTGGAAACAAGAATTGGCAATAGAGCTTCAGTTGCACCACCTTTCCCCCATGGTTGCTCTTTCAAGAGGGAATTTCTCTGATGTGCTGGAGGAGTAGACATCATGTTACTATGTTGGGGGGGGGGGGGCGGCGGCGGCGTAGTCTGCATTGGCTGTTGTGCGTATAGATCACCCCCATTTCCACTTCCTGTTCTCACCCCCGTTCTAAACTATGAGTTATTTGTTAAGTCGGATGTTTGTAACTCAGGGACTGCATTTTTAAATTAACTTTTGACTGATACTGGCACAAATTTGAGGTATGTGTTAAGTGCAAGTTAATTTCCATCCAGTCTCTCTATGTAATACTTTTCATGTACTAAGACAGTGGGAAAGAGACTGTTAAATCTGGAACATTTTAAAACCAGGGAGCACAACAGCTTCTGAGAAGGAAAAGATCTGCCTTGTTCAGTGCCAGGACAAGAAAGCTTCTGTAAGGTATGATAACCATGACAAATTTCTCTCAAATCAAGTGTCTTCAACCATTTTCTCAGCCCTTAAAGCTGTTGGCCTCTGCCAATAAAGATGTTGGTCTTGCCAACTAGGCATGAATCCACCAGCTTTTTGAAAATTGTAAGCTGCAGAAAAGCTCCTTCTAATCTCGCCCTTCAGGAAGGTTGCTGACAGATGAGAAGGACTTAGCCAGTAGGTAATATAGCTAGTTTCCCCAAAGTGTGCAGCTAGCACTGACATGAGTCCAAACCTGTCACAACAATCTGCCTTAGGAATCTAATAGAAATGGCATCATCAGGCTTTTGAAGCAGTTTGTTATATTCTTCAGAATTATGCGCTTGATATTCATCTGTAATTGCTAAAACCACCCTGAGTCACCTCGGGGAGACAGGGCAGGATAATAATAATAATAATAATAATAATAATAATAATAATAATAATAATAAACAAAAAGAAGTAAACAAGTTGCTGGTTATAAAGTGGAAGAAAACATATGACATTTATGGAGAAACTGACAAAAGAGAAGCTGGAATCCACTTTTAAAATTAATTAATGTGTGTATTGGTAGTTAATAATAAAAATATTTATTTATACCCCACCACCTCTCCCCAAAGGGACTCATTCTAGAGTTATAAGTAGAGATGTATGTTTGTTAAGCAATCGTTGTCTAAGTATGTCTATGTTTGTTAGGGCTTGTGATGAGGACACAGATGAAGGGCTTCTTCACCCAGCATTTGAGCCAGGGGCAAGCTGAGAGCAGCAGCCTGACATGGAGGAATCTACTCCTGCAGAGCAGAACCAGGAGCCTCAGGGAAGTAGGGATGTGTAGTTAGAGCAGGATCAGGAGCTCCAGGAGGCAGACCAGGAGTTAAGCATTCCAGCTAGGCTGCAATTAAAAACTGATGCCATCCAACTGAAGAGAACTAACCAGTTGGCTCAGCCTACAACCTTGAGAAATATGTTTTACTTATCTAGTGACACAATAAAGGAAAACTGTTGAATAATTATGCAGGTTATTCACATTTCAGTGCTAAAACAACTTTAAGCAAGATGAACACCCACTGGAAACCTATTTGCAAGGTTTATATAGAATACTGAATGCAGGATTTTGAAATTTATTTGTTCAGTGTTGGAGTCAGTGTGGTGCAGTGGTCTGACCAATAGACCGCACCTCTAAAGACCAGGATTTAAGTCCCTGCTCAACTATGTATCAGCCTGGGGGACCTTGGGCAAATCAATCTTTCAGCCTCAGAAGGAGGCAATGGACAAATCTTACCAAGAAATCCCTTTGATAGGTTAAGGTTTGCCTTAGGGATGCCATGTCAGAATCAACTTCAATGCACACAACAACAACAATCAACAGGTGATGTTGGACCGTTTCTGAAAAGAAATCAAACAAAAAGAAAAGAAAAATAACATTTCCAATTATTAGCAAGGCGCTGTTTAGCCAAAATCAAATCCCATTTGTTAGCTGCTGTTAGTTCCTTTTGTTAGCAGATGGAGTCCTCTGCTGGCAAAATGAGGACATGCCTCAAGAAAAGGACCTTATACCCTCTAAGGTAGCAATGTCCTAAGAAAAAGGAATCCTGCCTCTCCTATAAACAAAGTATTTAGTAACAATAGGTAAAGGAATACTGTCCATGGCTACAAGCAAAGTAAACCAACATGGTAAAACTCAAAATTTGGCAAATGAGCAGAATTGAGCATTTTCATGTGGTGTCGTAAAAATAACAAAACTTCTCTAATGATAACAAATGGATGCACGCACATCCATGTATGGACTGATCCTGGCAGAGGCCTCTGAAGCAACTCTTGACACATGCACACCTGTTTCGAACTACTGAAGTTTGAGCCCCTGGACATCTTTACAACTGTATCTTTCATTATTTCTTTAGCAAAAATCTGTATTGGCACAAATATCTTTGAAAACAGCCTACCCAAGCCTCATCTTCTCCAACAGTTTGATGCCATAACTGAGTTGCATTCCAGGGAACTGAGAGATCTGTATTGGAAGTGAGCTTTATACATGCTCAATTCTGTCTGCACTTCAGCTTTACCTTTTCTTAAAAGACCCATGCTCCCAACTATGGGTTTGTTCATCTACATAACACATAAGTTGTCTGGACCTCAAGTATGTGACATTTGGCACCTTTATGGGGAAATGGCACTAGACTCTTGAAAGCTATGCCAGAAGAATGCAAGCATGCAAGTTCTGACATGTTTTACAAGGCTGGCAGTTTTAAATATGCCCTTCTTTTGGCACCAGTTGCTCTAGCTAGGGATGCAGGGACTCATCTCCATATGGTTGGATAAATTAACTTACGGCAACAGTGAACATAATAAAGGTGATGAAAAGTTGTGATCACCATCGGTAAATGGATTATCCATGCCAAAGAAATCAGACCTTCAAGGTATAAAGGTCCTGCTTCACATATATTCCAATTGAAAAGATAAATTATCTCAACAACCGTATCCACATATTCTTTCACCTTCTCCTACTGATTATTTGCCTCAAAGGTATTTCAATGGATAAGTTAAATCCATTGTAATTTCCAGAATTAACAATAGTCTTTGTACTTACTGCCTATAGTTGGATAGATTTGTTTTATTTGTGGTCTGTGAGTTTGACACTTAAATAAAAGTTAGATGTATATCTCAGAAGTATTTTAGCTATGAATTGCTAAAGAGGAGAAGAAGGTCTAAATGGCTCTTACAATGCCTTCAGACTCTGAGATTCCTTCATAAATCTATTCCACTGGCATTTTATAGGAAAGAGACCCAAGGCAAGAAGAAATTAACCTATCAAGATCTCCTAGAAAATGTATAAGAATACAGAATTAAAACAAGGGAATAATTGATTGCAGAGGGGTTTGGGTTTTCAGTGGTTTTGTTATTTACAGTTAATGGAGAGATTCAGGCAAGACAAGTAATTGGTTTGGAACTGAGTAAATCAAAATTTGAGTTGCAATTTTGTGCTAATGATGAACATTAATTGCTGAAATGTATGTTATTAAAAAAGGGAAATGGCAGACGAGCAAGTTAAAGAATGTATGACAAAGTGGGCACTAAATGTTGGGCATCTTCTAATGTTGGACCAATGGAAGATAATGTGGAACAAGGGTTTAAAATTTATTGTTATAATTTGAAATATATTTTTATAAAATGAAGTATTGATGGTATAGGACTCCCTTAAAAACTTTCTAAGATGTCTAAAGAGGTTTCCAACACTTGTTGGAAATGTAAACAGTTCTGAGCTCTATCATATGTGGTGGGCATGTCAACAGGCCAAGAAATACTGGATTCAAATACATAAGGTGATCCAGAAAGTTTTGAGGGAAAATATTCAGATAAAACCTGAGATTTTTCTACTTGGTCTGACTGATACAAATGAGTATGATAAACAGCTGCAATACAGGACCACAGCTGCCAGACTGCTCTATGCGCAAAAGTGGAAGAACTCAGCAGCACCAACAACAGAGGACTGGATGATAAAAATGACTTGGCTAAGATGGACAAATTATCCTGTTTACTAAAAGACTGGAGTTTGGAATTTTTCTTCACTTTTTGCACAAGAGGACTTGCCAATTTTGAGTTTTGAAGACTAATTTGAGAAGGGGGGGTGCTCGAGAAAGGAGTCAACACTTGAGGGTGAAGCTTAATTTTTCTTTTGGCTAAGTGAGGATAGATTGGAGGTAATCTACTTTTTCTTTTTTGGCATTTTTGTGTTTTTATTCTAAATTTCTTTACTTGATTCACTTTTTGATTTTTAATGTAACTTTTAAAACATAGTTTTTTTAAAAAAAACAACAACCCTATTTCACTGAATTCCACATCAATCTGCTATTCTTTCCTTTGTCTCAAGTAGTCAAAATATGCATTCATGTATTTTTCAAAAGATATGAAAATTTAACTGAAAATGCTCATTATTCACATTTTATTGCAACATACGTATTTCTGTATGTCTTTTAAGCGAAGGTATAATGGTTTTTGAGCAGACATTTGTCCTGCAAATTTCAGCAAATTGCTCCGTTTAAATGAATTTACATCTGTGTATTAGTTCAGGAAGAACAAATTAAATAGATTTATTTCAAAGTACAGCCTTTCAAAACACACTTTTTAAAGGATTTTTTTGGACAATGCAAATGTTCTCCATAGCCATAATATACTGTCATGGTTGGCAGAAGAAGACGAGGTTCTCTCCCATGTCTTTTTCCATTTTAGTTTGCTTCTATGTTTTCTGTCCATGTGTCCAGCTGATTCTCCTCTTAAGCAGATAGAAGAAATCACCAATATTTTAAAACAAGGAGGTTCTTGAGTATAACAATATATTGAACAGGTTGCATTGGGGGTGGGGAAAGAAAACAGTTACGCCAAAGAAGTGAGGTTATGTATCATGTTTTTTTTAATGTTTTGCCATTTTTTGGCCTTATATTCACTATGACTGGTTGTTTCATCTTCCTTGATCTAAGCTTACTGAAGATACACATATATACTGAAGATACATATATAGATGTATATTGTTCCCATGAAATCAAACATCTGGGGTGTACATGGAAATTCTTTTTTGCACCAAGATAGTACAGTTGGCCCTTCACATCTGCTGGTTTTACATTTGCATTTTTGACTATTTGTGAATTGGCCAGGCCCTATGGAACTTGGAGGCAGGAGGGCCACTAAGCATCCAGGGGGAAGTATAGGGAACATTCCCAAGTCACGCCCAGCATTGAGAGATCAGCATCGGGGAGAAATTGCTCTCCTCACATCTGTACCATCTCCTGAGGATGCGGGCATCTTGGGAACATTCTCTGGGCTCCCCATTCAAGAGAGGGATGTGTGTGTGTAATGGTATTTGTAGTTTAACAGTCATGGGGAAGATAAGCCCCTAACCCCCACAAATGTGGAAGGCTGATAGTAAATACACTCCAATTTGTTAGTAATCGTGTGGTCCATAGGATTCCAGAGCTTATACTACTTGTCAAGTACTGTACATAAAGCTCACAAAAAGAACAGAAAGAAGACACTGAAGAAAGCTTTTCTCATTTCGGTAGTAGGTCAACTAGCTGTAAATGTAGAGAACTCAAGAAGAATCTGGCCCAATTGTTTTGCTGAATGCAGTTAAATGCAGCCTGCTGGTATCATGTTACAGATTCAGATGGCAGATTCTCATGGGCTCCTCATTCTTCTTGCCATCACTGAAACAAGTGCTGAAGAAAGGGTAGAATTTGCGTGCCCGGGCCTGGTGGAAGGCAAAGAGAAAGGACATGTCCTCAGCATTGTAGAAGGCCACTTTGTTTGCGCTGCAATCCAGCAGGACACCCACTTTTTTCAGTGGACGGCGAAGCCTCAGGCGCACCCAGGGAGTGGTTGCAGCCCAATACTCAGCATTATCCCGTAGTCGTATAGCCCAGTAGCCATTCTCAGGGCACAGCCGGACTCTAGCTGCTCGGTCCACAGAGTCTGCTGCCACTCCCAGGTCCCACTTGGTCTTGCTGCCTACCCAGACCTCCCAGTAATGCCTCCCATTCTTAAAGGATGCTTTGCCCAGGACGTTCACACTCTGCAGGAAGCGCTTGGAGCTTCTCGGCACAGCTTGGAATGTCTCTTTCTCTGTTACTGCAGTCAAATCTTTGGAGAGGACGAGGTTTGGGTGGGCTGTTTCTGGGTCAAAGACCAGAGAGGCTGGAGCTGTTAAAAGAGAGCATATTAAAAAGGAGTATATGTTACAAAGTGTGCCTGGAGTGCATGAGTTCTGGTCCTCCCTTCTGGTCTTGCAATGAGAACTCACCTGGGCTGATTGACTTGAGCATCCTTCTCCAAAATGTATATTGCAGGGGCCCATCATACAGGTCCTTGTACTGCTCAATGCGAAAAGTAGTCAATGCTTTCACATCTGTGGTTGGCCTGGAGCACAGAAAAGCCTGGTGACCAAGTGAAGGGTCAAGCAAGAACATGCCACAGTTGTGCAATCCAATGTGAAGAACAGAAAAAGCTTTTCAGCCAGCTTTTGCATTCTGCATTGTTATTCTAATTGCACACAAAATGCCTTACAGTTCTGTCCAATACATTACTTTTTTTTTACAAAGGAAGCAAGTGAAGTTATGGCAATTAAGTTTAATTAAGGTACTTGATGTATGACTGGACAGTCAAAATCACAAACCCCACTTCCTGACACACATCAGCTGTAGTTAAATCATGTCCTTCCCTTCCAGCCTTTCAAAAACTTCATATGGAATAAAGTTATCATATTTGATAAAATTAAAGTTCACTTCAATCAGAAAATAACAGTAAATTTAACTGACTTTTTTTCTTTTTGGTTACAAATGGAGCTGCAAGTTCTGGCCATTATAAAGAAACACCTGCACAATAAGGAGGAGCTTTAGTTTTGCCCATTTATGAAACCACCTCCCTCCCAACCAAATGAAAACTGAAGAAAACAAACAAAATAATTTGTCTTCTTTAGTTCTCCTGATGCCAAGCAGACACGAAGAATTCTATTGACATAAAACCAGATTTGAAGAAAGATAATTAAGACCAGGAATTGCAATGGTGGAAGATATTGTACATATTCTTCCATAAAATCCTAGGAAGTTTTAGAAAAAAAGGGTGCAATCTTATTCAATAGTTTTGAATGCATAACCACCATATTTACAGAGTTGTGCAGTGAATTCTGGTCAGACTCCTCTAATCTCAATCTACAGGGAAGCACTGTAAACAACAGGGGTCTATTCCTCTGTTGCTTGGGAAGCTACTGACTAATATTCTCACCACTTCCATGAACTATCTATGTTTTGGCAAATAGAAACACGGTTCCTGTTGCAATTTCCTCTCATGGCAGAGAGTGCTCCAGGGAGGGAGTGGGAATGTACATCACCTGCTTCCTGAGAGGAATGGATCCCTACCAGTTACAATGGCTGCTGCCAGGTATGTGGAGATAAGTCCCCTCAACTAGGGACAATGTAGTTAATTATGAATACCTCACAACTTTTTTTTTCCTGTCAGGAGCAACTTGAGAAACTGCAAACCTCACAACTGCAAATGTTTAACTCCAGGTCATGCATGTGTAACTCCCCCAATAGGATCTTGAGTGGGTGGCAGGGAGAGTGGGATAGAATATACTTTGTCTTCAATATTGCATTCATCAATTTAAAGGAACATATTCCATAATCCAATTGCTTTCTATTTTTCTGAAACACTAAAATGCTTCAGAAGGAAAAAAAGATTTGCTCCTATTTTTCCTCCCCCATCCTCCAGATATTCACAACTCTACTGAATAGATAAGAATATTGACTCTCCCCTGTAATTGATCTGAGATGGGAGGTCCAAGAGCATAGACTATGCAGTTCACTATGTAGTGAACTGCCTTGTAGTCAGACAAAATAATTTGGTGCTTTCACAGCTGCAAAAATAAAGTAAGACAAGCCACCAAACTACTGCAACCCATTAGCCACGTATGGTGGCTTCCAACTGATTCTCAAATTCTCTGACCGAGAACAGAAAAGTGACAATATACAGCTGGTGAGTGGTACTCACATTGATGGCTTGCAAAATCTGGGGGTCTGAGTTACGTTCAATTGCATCACAATTCCCAACTCCGACTATGAACGTTTTCCTGAGATATGGGGCAACCCACACTTTGTACTTCATAATGTCAGTGTCTGCGGCCTTAGATTTCAACCAGCCATAAGCTTTGCACGTCTATGCTACGATGCCTGGTGTCCACAGATCTCCCCATATTCCCTACAATCAGTCTGCTTACCAGCTTCTCTCCAAATTGATTGTTTCAGTGTTCAAAGCTACAGAGTTGATACTCACTCCGCCTCTCATTTTTTAAAAAAACACACACACAAACGCCCATTCCACTGCAGCAAAACAGGTAAGATAAGAGAGAAATAGCCTTTTCTCTTTCTATACACGTACTTAACTGTCACATTTTCCACCTGCAACAAGAAGCAGAGAAATTAACAAACACTTCACTTAATCCTTATACAGCTGCTCAAACAAATGTACTCTTTTTCTTGCTTATACACTAACATGTGTCTAATTAAAAATAAAATTATGGACACAATTTCAACAGGAAGCTAATTTTACAATGATTTTGCAATGATGCTGCTATAAGAACACAGGCTTGTTCAAAGCCAGGCTAGGTAAAGTTGTGGTGCTCCAGATGATGTTCTTCGCAGCCTGGCTAATGAGGGAAGTGGCAGGAGAATGGTAAGAGTAATAATAATAATAATAATAATAATAATAATAATAATAATAATAATACTTTATTTGTACCCCACTACCATCTTCCCAAGGGACTCGGTGAGGCTTACATGAGGCCAAGCCCGCAGTACATCAAAAAACTAAGGCAATAACAAATAATACAAAACAGTTAAAATAAATCTCATAAACAAAAAATACACAATAAACAATAACAATAGCATACAGTCTAAGATGAGTCTTCCAGACCATTCCTTTAACATGGATGTACCCTCTTCTCTGACTAAAGGAAATGCATCAAAAAACCTTCTAACTTGTACTTTAGTTAAACAGTATTCTGCTTTTTTGGCCCTATCAAACTCCTCTGTAAAATGGCAAATCTATACTAGCATTTTAATTATGGCTGATATTATGTTATATTATGGCTTGTTATGCAATAATCTGATCACTATTGTCTGAAATCTTGGATCATGAAAAGGCATATTATGAAATGTCTTTTGAATTCTGTCAATAGGGCAGCACTGTATTTAGAGAAATGAAACTGCATAAAAGAACAATGAAGGCAGGTAATAGAGCCAACTTGTTGGAGGTATGCCAACCTGGCCTTAACCCATGGCTGGACTGGAGTCTGCTTCAAATGGTGCTCTAGTTCAGCAGAGGAAATAAATTACAGAAATGCACCAAGCATGCAAAGAATGCCACAGCTTTACACTCTGATGTTATGCTGCAAGTCAGTTATCTCCCTGCCTAGTCATATGTGGATTTCCCTTGAGCAGCATCACAGAACACAAAACTACTTGTGCCATGGTTCTGAAACTAGCATAATGCTCCAAGTGTTATCCTGGTCTTTTAGCTCTGAAGGAATTTGGATTCCAGAGTATGTGCTACATCCTGCAAGAAGAGATGCCCTCTTGTGCTCTCCTTGGTAAAGATTTCTTTCCAATAATTCACTGAACAAATATCCTAGAGTAACTATAGCAACCATATAAAAATACCACATTAAACAACTTAAATTTAAATGGAAGGAGCTAGCTCTTACCATGCTTGGGAGGGGGGGCGCAAAGGTGCAGTGCCAGGAGGGAGAAATAGAGGAAAACGGTAGTTGCAAATTGTCCCTTTTGCTGGAAAGGCTGTTTCGTGGTTGCTTTCCAGGTGTCTGTGTGTGTGTGGTGATATGATTGGAAGAGAAATTATTCCTCTCAAACCCAACATGCTGTATCTAAATGCCGCTGACTTGTCTAGAACTTCATTACTCCACTTTTTAAAAATTAAAAGCAGTGCTCACTTTCCCAACATATGTTTAGTGGTATGCTTCCTCAAGAGTGGCTTGCCACATTTGGTGGAATGCTCCCTTCCAGAGAACTGCTTTTAGATATTCGTACTCATTTTTTTTGCTGTTGTTTTCATATATTGCAGTGTCTATTCTCTGATGCTTGTTTTATATTGATTTTTATTAATCAATAAAAATCTTCAATCACTGTTTTACTGTTGGTAGATATGTTTCTATTTCATAGTATCTGAGTTTACCAGCCAGTGTAATAATGAAATCAGTTACTATTACTTGGAAATGTAATAGTAACTGATTACTATTACATTTCCAAGTAACAGTAACTGATAACTGATTACACCAATACTCGGAATATACAAGATGAAACATTAGGAAGAACTTCCTAACTGTGAGAGCCGTTCAGCAGTGGAATTCTCTGCCCCGGAGTGTTGTGGAGGCTCCTCCTTTGGGGGCTTTTAAACAGAGGCCAGAAGGTCATCTGTCGGGGGTGCTTTGAATGCGATTTTCCTGCTTCTTGGCAGGGGGTTGGACTGGATGGCCCACGAGGTCTCTTTCAACTCTATGATTCTATGAAATTACAATAACTGAATTTAACTCACAATGTTCAGATTGTTTGCATTAATATTACTCATAGGTAGGTATTAATCTTACATATGTATATTTGTTTATATTTAGCAGCTGAAGCAACTAGTAGAAGTACATTTAACATGGTGATAGATTTCTTGGATTGAGGGGAAGATAATCTATTGTGTTTCTAATATTTTTTATGTATTTTTTAAAAATATCTTTATTTATTTATATCTCTTTTTTTTAAAGGAAGGAATTCAGGGGTGAGGAAAGGATGTGAGAGGGACGACCTGGGGATTATTTTAGTATTGTTATGGTTGTTTTAATTTAGTGTTTGTATTTATTTATTTATCTCATTTATACCCCATCCTTCCAACCCCGAAGGAGACTCAAGGCGGCCTTACAGAAAGGCAACAATTCAATGCCATATAAAAACAAGCCTACAAGCTTCAGTATCTCTAGCTTTTTTTTCGTGTCAGGAATAACTTGAAACTGCAAGTTGCTTCTTGTGTGAGAGAATTGGTCGTCTGCAAAAACGTTGTTCAGGGGACGCCCGGATATTTTGATGTTTTACCATCCTTGTGGGAGGCTTCTCTCATGTCCCCGCATGGGGAGCTGGAGCTGACAGAGGGAGCTCATCTGCGCTCTCCCTGGATTCGAACTTCCAACCTGTTGGTCTTCATTCCTGCTGGCAGAATGGTTTAACCCACGGTGCCACCGGGGGCTCCTAGTATCCCTAGCTACTATGGCTATTGAAAGATGCAGTCCAAAATAGTACTTTTTCTTACCTCTCTCCCCTCTGTTTTTAATTGTGTGTTGTTTTATTGATAATATTGTTTATCTTATTGTCTAAGTTTTTTAATTGCTTTATTGTTGTTTTATTGCTTGTATTGTTGTTTTATTGCTTGTATTGTTGTGTTTGGGTTCGACCTCATGTAAGCCGCACCGAGTCCCTTGGGGAGATGGTAAAAAGGTAAAGGTAAAGGTAGTCCCCTGACATTAAGTCCAGTCATGTCTGACTCTGGGGTGTGGTGCTCATCTCCATTTCTAAGCCGAAGAGCCAGCGTTGTCCGTAGACACCTCCAAGGTCATGTGGCCAGCATGACTGCATGGAGCGCCGTTACCTTCCCACCGGAGCAGTACCTATTGATCTACTCACATTTGCATTTTTTCGAACTGCTAGGTTGGCAGAAGCTAGGGCTGACAGCGGAAGCTCACGCCGCTCCCCGGAATCGAACCTGCAACCTTTCGATCAACAAGCTCAGCAGCTCAGTGCTTTAACCCACTGCGCCACCGGGGGCTCCCTGAGGAGATGGTAGTGGGGTACAAATAAAGTTAATAAATAAATAATAAATAAATAAATATAAAATACACATAAAAGCAAATGTAAGATGACACATTGGGACATAATCTCATCAGAAGCTATAGCATGACAACAATTACATACAGGAAAGCAGAACCTATGACCAGCAAAGTAAGCTGTAAAATCCTAGTCTAGCTCTTGCATCCAACACCCAGGCTTCACCCTGCATCACATTTTATGCTCACCTCAAGAAGCAATGAGCTTCCCAGTGTGTCAAGCTGGTGCTGTATATGCTCCATGTTTTTCTTTAAATCAACCATCCTTCCTGCTAGTTGTGCAGAGTCTCTTTCCAGTCTCATCAACCACTCTCTCTCTTTCCGGGCAAGTTCCAACAGCACAGTTCTTTCCTCTTCTTCTAGGATACGATGAAGACGCTCAAACGCTGCACGGATCTTTGACTTCAGTTCACCAGAAGCCTTCTGATCAGATGTAAGAGCAGAAAAGGGTGTGAAGACAATACATTAAAGTGCATTCAAAGAACTGTCAAAACTTTCAAAACAGATTCAAAAGCCAGACTTTTATGGAAATAGAGTTTTAGTCAAGAGAAGTGCAGCTTATGATCCTTCTTACATAAAGCATTCCCATCCACATTCAGCTTAGGAATGTGTCCTGCCACAGACCTGGGTTGACTCCACACTAGTTATTTATTATAGAATTTCTATCCTTCATTCCCAAAGTAGACATTTCTGGGAACTGATTACAACACAACATTTGTCAGTTTGGTCTGACCTACTTTCACACCTAATTTACGTTGACTTTTCTCACGAAAAACACAATGGTAAAGCCAGTCCTACAGAGTGGGCTAGTGAAGCCCTACTAAAGCCTTTCAGAACTTCTGCAACTTTAATTAGAAACTTTCCTCATGTGGCCTCTTTCTCATGGTTTCCTGTTTCTGGAAAGTCCATCTTACAGGCATGAAGGTTTTCAGCATTGTGAAACTTTTTTGCTTTCTTGTGAATTTTAAATAAGCCAGTCATGTCTTACTGCTTTTTAAATTATTGTTATATTGCACCGCTTCTCAACCTGTGGGTCCCCAGATCTTTTGGCCTACAACTCCCAGAAATCCCAGCCAGTTTACCAGTTGTTAGGATTTCTGGGAGTTGAAGGCTAAAACATCTGGGGACCTACAGGTTGAGAACCACTGGCATATTGTTATATGTATTTATATTCCACTTCTTCTCTCCCAAAGGAGACCCAAAGCACAAACACTAAAAATATACAATATGTAAATTAAAACCCAAAGCATAAAAATATTTAAAAAGAATTAAACACGGAACTTTTAAAAAAACATAGTTAACACCAATAAAAACATTTTAAAAACCCACTAGACTACATAAAGCACAGCACCCTCTGGCTCAGGCATAGGCAAACTTCGGCTGTCTAGTAGGCTGTTAGGAATTGTGGGAGTTGAAGTCCAAAACACCTGGAAAGTCGAAGTTTGCCCATGCCTTCTCTAGCTCAAACTTAAAACCTTTCTTCTTAAAAGCCTTTCTGAGTAAAAAGGTTCAGCCTGCTGGACATCAGGAAGGGAGTCATTTTGGCTTCCTTGGGAAGAAGGGAGTTCCAGAGTGAGGTGAGGGGCAGACACCGAAAAGGAAGGCCAACTCTCTCGTTTCCATCAACTCAGATAACCAATTCTCTCACACCAGAAGTGATTTGCAATTTCGCAAGTCGCTCCTGACATGGGGAAAAACCCCAACTGAGTTTGCAATGGTGATGGAACTGAAAGAAGGTCCTCTCCTGAAGATCTCAGGGCTCGGGATGGTTCATACTGGGAGATATGATCTGCCAGATAGCCTGGATCTGACTGCATTGTTCTTGTTACACATTATACTTTCATGACCCTTCTGCTGCTATACTGTAGACAATAGCTGTAGCACTGTTTATAATTTAATCCTTGACTAGGTCTTAATAAACACTTGTTTCAGATAAAATGGAATTTTAATTAATAAACACTCCTCACTCATTTTGATATTCTCTATCTGCAAAATACTGTCTTCCTTTAGCTTTCTTGAGTCTTCTAGCAAACAAATCGTGTCTATCTCTCAATAATGCTCTATAATTAATAAACATTGCTCACTTCTTCTCTCAGAACCTACTGGGGCCAGCTAGTCTTCCACAAAGAAAAAAATGCAGCTGGCCATTTTTGTACTGTCTCTTTCCAAAAAATTCGGCTCTCATTCCAGCCTTTGAGTAAGTATGGAGGGCTAGGGTTTTGCCTTGTGTCCGCAGATGCTTGGAAAAACACAGAAGCATCAGGAGAGATAACTGACATGTATTTTCTTATCCCAAATGCTTCTTTAATCATAGCTTGACAGAGATTAGGATGCAGTAAAACTCTCTCAATAGGAACCAAGGGAGACTAATGCCTGGTGAGTAGAACTGCTGAGAGTGTCTCTCTCCTGCTGTGGAGATGGTTAGGAGAATATCTCATAGTGAGCTCTGGAGATGGGTGACTTGTGGAGATCAGATGCCCTGCAGAATCTTATGCTAACTCTGAAAACATCCTCAGAGTGAGTAAGACAGTTGAGGTTGTGGAGCAGTTAATTCAGAAGAACAGTTCCCAAAATAAATAGGTATAAAAATGGAATGTTCTCATCTTATGCGCACCAGATTTTAAAGGGCTGCCTTTTCCATCTCATTTGCTGCTTTCACCTTATTGTTGAAATGAATAAATGGAAGCCTTCTTTTGTACTGATAGCTTCGGATTATTTTCTACATCTTCATTACAGTTTTTATTCCACTGCCTCTTTTACATCCAACCTATAAACATGGCAATTTGGCTTTTCTTGGGACTCACTACAGACATAAAGACACCCCAACAAAGAGGTAATCTTCCACATTATCTTTTTCTGCCCTCTTTTCACCATTCTCATTCTATTCCTTTTTGAACAAGGTTACCAGAATTAAATACAAAGATTCAGAATACTGATGTACAATGGCAAGAGGCGGCCTTGATATCAGCCTTTCTCTCATTATGTAGTTCTTCACTTTTTTAAAAAAAGGTCTCTACTACACGCTGAATGTGTAGTAGTCAGCACCAGCTACTATTAATCAGCACCAGCTACTATTATGAGTGATTATAGTTAATTGTGAATTCAAATTATTTTGACTGAAGTGCACATTATTTGCTACTCACCACAGTCAATAGTAACGACTGAGGCTTATTCAATGAACGAAGTCCTTTTGATGTTGCAAACCAACTATACTATTGCTTAAATTATGTGAAATTATGTTCCTCACAAGTTACATTAGCATACATCTCATCAATATTCCCACAATAGTGCTTGATCCACTTTGAAGTGAGAAATCTCCTTCCTTTGCTACACGTATTCCGGGACTGTAGATAAGAATGGAAATAAACTTTCTGACTTCTGTCATTAGGACCACTGAAAGGCTATATTCTTAGCCTCCCAGGAACACAGCTTGGAAAGTTACTTTTCAAAAACAATTGTATAAAATTGTTGCAAAGCCTCTTAAAATAATGCATTATCAATAACACTGCAAGAGCACTGAAGCAATGTTGTGCTTTAATCATTGCATTGATGGTTTATTTGGTGACAGAAATGCAGGGTCAATTTTTAAAATTGTAATATATATTCATAATAAATATATTCTTATACCCCACCACCATCTCCCCGAAGGGACTCAGGGCAGCTTACGTATGGGCAGAGTGTCCACAACACATAAAAGTGAAAACAATACATAAAAGTAAAAACGATCCACAGAACAAACATCTTAAAAATAAAAGCATAAAAAATACAAACCCAGATAAAACACACTAAAAATAAAAGTATAAAACCAATTACATCGAAGCTCCAGCAAGCATAGTTAAACAACAAACCAATGGCCAGGATGCATGTGACCATGCATGTGACCAAGCTAAAAAGGGCTGGGCAAGGGACAGTGCAAACAGCATAGCATATACAACTGGACAAAACAACAGTCCGCTGTCCTAAAAACATAAAACAAAATAACATTAGTACAGGTGGGTTGTTGTAGGTTTTTCAGGCTACATGGCCATGGTCTAGAGGCATTCTCTTCTGATGTTTCGCCTGCATCTATGGCAAGCATCCTCAGAGGTAGTGAGGACCTCACTACCTCTGAGGATGCTTGCCATAGATGCAGGCGAAACGTCAGGAGAGAATGCCTCTAGACCATGGCCATATAGTCCGAAAAATCCTACAACAACCCAGTGATTCCGGCCATGAAAGCCTTCGACAATTAGTACAGGTGGTCAACCATGGACAACTTTATCTTTCTACCCCCTCCCAATGGATGGGTTGACAAAAATTAACTTTTGTGTGGCCAGACAAATGGAGGCTTGGGGGGGACGGGGACGGGGACACTCAAGATTAAGGCATTTACAGAGATTTCCTTTTACAAAACAGTAAGTACCTACTTATTTCTTGTTTTGGAAAGGGGGAACCTGAATGAGTCTTCTGGTGTCTTGGGAAAATTTACTTTAATTAATTTAATTTAATTTACTTTTGAAAGGAAAATATTTCTAGTGTCATTTTTTAAAAAAAAAGGGAACTTGCATTATTTGAACATCAGGTTCTTATGCACTATACAGTCATGGTATTCGATTCCACTTCATCTGTCATGGCTAGGAAATCCTGGTGTTTGTAGTTTAGTCGGAGGCACCAGGAGATCTCTCTGGCAAGAAATCCTAAAAGCCACTCTAACTACAAACTTGAGGATTCCCTAGAACAGAGCAACAACTGCATTATGATCATGGCCAGTTAAACTCAAATCATAGTACTTTGTGTAGCATGAAAGAATCTCTGGTGCCTGAAAGCAATGACATGTGAAGAATGCTGTTATCTATAATAAACATTTCACTAATTTAAAAAGAGAAAATACCTCATCTCAGGTAAGTTTGCAAATCTTATATTCTCTGACAAATTCAGTGCTGGCTAATCTTCACTAATGCTTCCCTTTAAGATGCAATTTCACATGTCTCTATTCCCCTCTAGTGGTACTTCCTAATAAACTTGTTGAACTACCTTACGTGTAGAACCACTAACTTTCCCTAGTTCTCTGCCTAAATGCTACTTGTTAATCTTTCTAAAGAGAAGAAGGTAAGAGTAGCAGCTGAATCTAAGCTGGTGGTGTATGGTAGATTGGGTAGCATTACTTTCCTGTCTCAAGAATCCTGAGTTTGGAAGTGGCCCCTGTTTAGAGTTAGGTCAGAATAAAAACAGGCACTAGTAGTGGAAGTGTTGCTACAACATAAGCAATACAGAAAATGCTTCTCTATGAGTGACAAGTATGAATGCCCCTATATTCTACCATAGTAGCAAGAACCACATTCCATGATAGCAAATTCCAGTGATCAATCATCAAAAGCCATCTGCACACAGCTCGAGTCCTTTTTCTTTCACAGAAATGTGATGTCCCTCCCCCAGTGTTCTCAACTGGGGTTAAAAGTGCCTTGATGCCTATCTTCCACAGTTCTACCAGCAGAATAAAATGAAGTTGCAAGAGGAAAATGAGGGTGAAGATCTGTATGAAGCCTCTGAATTAATATATTCTCTTGCAACATTCCGGGTATCTGATGACAGGTTATGATTTTTTTTTTAAAAAAATCACAATTCTGTTGCACTGAATCTGTTTGAGTGTTGTTGAAATGGCACCAACTCAGAAAAGAGCATTAAAAACCAAAACCCCAAAGAGCATGCATATCTGCTTTCTAAAATGCTGTTATCTTCAGAGGCATGACATTTTTCAATATGACAATTTTCCTAGCATGAAACAAGAAACAATGAGAAGCAGGACCCCAGGATGCTCTTTTAATCATGTGCTGGCAGCTCTCCAAAAGTTGCACCTGTTGAGGCTGTATATCAGCTGTTTTTAGCCATCCCTGAACCATCTGGCTCCTTTGTAGGGCTTACTTAACTAGCTTATTATGCTCCATTACGTGATTATATTGTCAAGTGCATAATACATCCCTTACTGACATCTTTCTCTTCTCTAAATGATAAAAAGATTATTGGGAGGGGGTGTGTGATTTGCATTAGCTTTTGCCAATACTATACATCTTTCTGACTCTTAAAGCTAAATGAAACAACATGAAAAAGCAACTTTAAAAGTCCTTTGTGCCAGTGATCCTCAAAGTGCTATGATGACAGAACTGGCCAGATAATCCAAGCTGATCTTGGACAGTTAGTTGGTGTGGTTCAGACTTAACCAGTCAGCAAAATCACTGACTCATAGCAAACGATACCTGTTACCTCAGTGCATCTGTTCAGCCTTTCAGATTTCAAACAATCTGCTCATTGTTACAACTGTGGAATTGGCAAGGTAAGTACTGAGACTTTCTCCTCAAACCTGACAAGGTTGGGTACAAAAGTCTACCAGCTCTCCTTAAAGGACTTGCATCTACATTATTGGTTTGACCACAACAAAGCAATGAACCATATCCTGGCAGAAAAATTATCTGAATTGCATTGAGAAGGATTCCAATCTTAACTATGGCATTTCCAGTTATTTTTAAAGGATCAGACTATAAGCAATCTGAAGAAAAGAATGGACTACACTTATGCCTTGCATAAAACAAGTTCAATATTATTTTGTTGATTTACTTACATTGCCTTTTGCCTAAATAAGTCACCTATCTAACTCTTCTATTAGATACACACACACATAGAAAATGCACACTTTGTTTTTGTTTACAGTATATGTACATGGAGTAAAAGGAACACATAAGAAAGATCAAAAGGGAAAATGACATACAAGCTGTCAACTTTTTCTTTTAATACAAGCATGTGGGACAGATGTTACATTTGAAGCTGTTGTTAGATACTTTCTTATTCCTGAGGATGAGATCTTTAGATATAATGAACTACAAGGAACATAGTTGGAGTTCTTCTCTGGTAATAAGAAAAAACAAAAATGACAATTCTGGAGTAATTTAATGAAGGAAAAAAGTTCCTAGACTCGTGTAATAAATAAAACCTTCTGGGGATTTTGAAAGTTACCTTTCAAAGGCATTTTGAAAAGAATGCTTCAAGTTGTGTTCTCTTATGAAATCTATGGTTTGTGTTTGGGTGAGAAAGAAAGCTACCTGAAAACCTAGAATATCACCGGCTGTAAAATATTGGGCTAGGTGATCCAATGGTCTGAAACAGAGTGTGGAAGTTGCTCATGTCCTTCAGTCTACAAGCAGCCATACTGACTGGCACTGATAAGAGCTGTGCTCTAAGGTATTTTGGAGACTGCCAGGTTTAGGAAGGCAGATTTAGATGTAAATCTAAAAATAATTTTTGTTGTTTTAAAACTCAAACATGAGTAAACAGTTGGGATACAATGTTCATATATATATTTTAAATTGCATTGTTTTAATTATATTGACTTGCGTTTTAATGTTATTGTTAGCTTTTAGCTTTGTGACTTGTCTTGTGTTCCATACTGGGAGAAGGATAGCATATAAATCAAATAAATAAATATTTAATGAGGCCTCCTCCTGAGTGTGAGTATCTCACTAAACTTCTCTTCTACTCTCAGAATTTCCACAAGAGGCTCACTCACCATTATTGACTGAGAATACTGCAGAACAGGTGATCAACTTTCCTTGTTTATTTCTCACCATCCAGTGGGGACACAGCTGTTCCTCTGGCTAGAATAAAACAACCTGTCCTCCCTAACTTTCTTTTTGTTTATTTAGGAGACCTTTTGCTGGCCTCCCATAGTGAGACGTGTTGTATTTCACCAACAAAAAATCTGACTTGTAAGCCTGGAATCCCTGTGTGTGTGCGTGTCTGTATGAGAGAGATGTAAGGTTCTGCCAAGGCTTAATAGCATTAATAGCTCCCCCATTCTGTCCCTGTACCCTGAGCACACTCTCCCCAGTAATTCTCCTGCTGCTCAGCCTCCTTTGTGCACGTTCTGTAATTAGAGGCATTAATCTTCCCTCTACTTAGGTGACGTAGTAGATCAATGATTATCTGGACAGATGATTACCTTGTTTTCTGCCAACCTTGAAGCAATGGTTATTTACTTGGCTGTTTTATCTTTTGCCTGTGATTTAAGGAGACCATTAAAATGGAAACTCACAAAAAGCAAGACAATCTGGCTACAACCCTGCTGTCTGGTTAGAATTCTGGAGGCCAAAGCCTTGGCAATTTACTATTTTCCCCCTTTTGTTTCATTTTTAATTGCCCTCTTCCAATGCTTTCTTATAGGCAGCCAAAGCAATGCCATATTATCCATCTATTAGCCTCTGGGGCATCTTCCATCTTGAGTGTCAACACTGTGCCTCATCTAAAGCAGGTTCCCCCAATCCAAAGCTTGGTACTGAAGAAAAATTGTGTGTCTCTAAGGGGGCAGGGAAGTGCCATTACCAGCAAGCCAGAGATCTTCTCCTCAGTCCCGTGCTTCATTCTCATCAGTTTCTCATAGTCCACCTGGAAAGACTGAAGTGCCTCTTCGAGGTGCTTCTAAGCATTGGAAATAAATATATAGAAACAAAAGAAGTATTTATATATAAATATCCATTTAAGGACCCCTACAACCTAGTGGACAGAGTGTTTGAGGATTATTGTAAACAGAATACCAATGTTGGGTAGCGGTTCATGTGTTTGACTTAGGAATCTAGGAGACAATCGCTCAACTCTTTCCTCAACTATGGAAACCCAGTGGGGGAAAATTTTGGCAAGGCCCACTTTTCTTAGAACAGTGATTCCCAATCTTTGGTCATCCACACATTTTGGAGTCCAGCTCCCAGAAGCCCCACCCAGCTTGGCTAACAGGAAGTCTGGGTGCTAAATAGAGATGGAAAGGCCTGGAAAAACCTTGAAAAATGGGGGAGGGGTCCATTTTTTCCAGGCCTTCCCATCTCTAGTGCTGAGTCAAACTTTGGGAAATACTGCCCTATTGAAGGCAATAGTACCCCCCCTCCCCAGAATATGTCTTGCCAAGATAAGACCATAAGAGTGTTGTTATAAATCAGAGTCAACCTGAGAACAATAAGAACAAAGTAAAATAGGATAGTCCGCAATTGTCTCCCCAAGTTCTTTGGAGAAAAAGTAGAGAAATAGTTGTTTCTACTACTATGCCATTTCCCTCTCCTTTTTTTTTTTTTGAGCAAAACACCTACACTTTGATTTTCTTTCCAATACAACTTAACCAACTGCTATTTCCTTGCATTTTATGCACCTGCCAGGTACTCCTCATTCAACCTGTAGGAAAAGGCTAAGAGAATATGGGTCCACAAGGGCCACCAACGGACTTCTTTGAGCCTTTTCAGAGAGGTCAAAAGATGAGACTCCTAGATTGACCCTAAACCAAGAAGTTCAGCATGCTTTAGATCCACAACAGGGAAGCTCAGGCTCTCTAGAAAGGGGTCGTGGTTGCAGATGTGTGACAACATATAGCACCCACCACTACTTCAAAGCTGTTTTTGCAAATCTTGGTCCACTCTGCTTCCTCGTTTTCTGATCCTAAACTGCTTCTCCCCAAAGCCTTCAGGAAGAGCTATTCATTTTTTAAATAAACTGTAGTATCTACTCCCACCCAATTCAACATTTTAAAAATTCTATGTCTTCAAACCGGAAGTAGAGTCCAACTACTTCCATGCTGGAGTATGGAGCTGTTTTTCTTTGGTATTTATAGCACTCCATACAGCCCTTTTGGGATGCTGGACAGAAAAGCTGGCACTGGGCTCACCACAGTTGTCTGCCTCTGTACTAATGGTTTTGGATGACACATATCTGTACAAGTTAGTTTAGTCACTGGTCAACCATGGTAGGAGCAGTAATTCCCATGAAGGTCACAAGTTTGCTTCTGTTCCTAGCCTTAAGTTTTCCTTTGTCTAGTATCAGTAGAACATGAATGGCTGATCTTTGATATGATCCACAAATAGTGTACTGGTGAAGACAAAAACAACATACTGTGATGACAAGATAAAGTAGTTTTAAAAAAGGAGGAAAGTATAGTTCGGAGATTAAAAGTGCAAGTTAAAATTAGGACGAGGGTGTATTATTTAGGGAAGAAAGAGATGTCCACTGGGCTCAGCACAGCCCAATGACATTATTGAAAAAATGAACTAGCAACACGGAACTGAGACTTTTAAAAAGTACTTATCAAAGTCTGACTGAAAAGGGTATTTGTCTTCGTTTTAGAAACTGAAGTGAAGATTGTATGATATGAGATCCTGACTGACAAAATAAAGAGAAAGCTCCAGCTCCAGCAAATGGCTTTCAAATGTTCAAAGAACACATTGTATGTTGTCTTTGTGGGATTTTCTATTTGTTTCTATTTGTTGACTGAAACATGCCCATCTCGTGCTTTAATTCCTTTGGTTGTACAGAACAGTATCCAGCAACATCTAGCTCTGCATCAGCCTGCAATACAGCCTTGATTCAAATCTGGTCATCAGTGGTCTAGGTACTTCCAACAAAACTGGAGAGAGATAATGAGGTTCAAAATCAATAGATAAAAAGCAATACCTTCAACTACCAAGAAAAGAGATTCAATCACCGCCATGTTGCAAGCCTGCTCACCTGTACTTTGCTCTTGTGCTCCTCTGAGGTGCACCTCCGAACCTTCTCCACTACTCCGGAAACGAGATACTGGGGGCGGAAGGAGCGGGTGGGGAACTCCCGCCGACACTGAGGGCAGGTGGCAACGTCCGAGCAACTTTCCCAGTAGCTCTGGATGCACTCCTGACAAAAATGGTGCATGCAGTCCAGCATGACTGGCTTCCGAAACAGGTCAAAACAGATGGCACAGGTGAGCTCTTCCCGAAGGCTCTGCTCCTGGCTCCTGTGAGCCATTTCTGCACAGACACAAAGCATGTTTAACAGTAACCCTGTCCAAAAGCACTGTTCTATCCTGCATCATAACAAAAGTAACCCCGAAGAAGGAATGCAGTTAGACATTACTTTAGGTGCCATGGTTCAATGCCGTGGGATCTCTTTGTCCCCTGAGTAATATACCCTCCTCCTGGTGTTGATAACCTTCTCACACTGGCTACTTACTGTATACTTTCCTCCTTTTTAAAACTGCTTTTGTCGTATCACCACAGTAAGTTGGTCGTCTACAAACCAAGAAAATACAACATAGGCTACATTCAGCAAAGGACAAGAGGGATCCTTTCATCTCTGCAGGAGTCTTGTTTGTTCATTCGTTCAGACGTTTCTGACTCTTTGTGACCTCATGGACCAGCCCACACCAGAGCTCCCTGTCGGCCGTCACCACTCCCAGCTCCTTCAAGGTCAATCCAGTCCCTTCAAGGAAACCATCCATCCATCTTGCCCTTGGTCGGCCCCTCTTCCTTTTTCCTTCCATTTTCCCCAGCATAATTGTCTTCTCCTGTCTTTTCATTATGTGGCCAAAGTACTTCATCTTGGCCTCTACTATCCTTCCCTCCAATGAGCAGTCGGGCTTTATTTCCTGAAGTATGGACTGGTTGGATCTTCTCATGGTCCAAGGCACTCTCAGAACTTTCCTCCAGCACCACAGCTCAAAAGCATCTATCTTCCTTCGCTCAGCCTTCCCTAAGGTCCAGCTCTCACATCCGTAGGTTACTACAGGGAATACCATGGCTTTGACTAGGCGGATCTTTGTTGCCAGTCTGATGTCTCTACTCTTTACTATTTTATCGAGACTGGACATTGCTCTCCTCCCAAGAAGGAAGCATCTTCTGATTTCCTGGCCACAGTCTGCATCTGCAGTAATCTTTGCACCTAGAAATACAAAGTCTGTCACGGCCTCCACATTTTCTCCCTCTATTTTCCAGTTATCAATCATTCTTGTTACCATAATCTTGGGTTTTTTTTATGTTTAGCTGCAACCCAGCTTTTGCGCTTTCTTCTTTCACCTTGATTAGAAGGCTCCTCAGCTCCTCCTCGCCACCTACCATACAGCCGTGGACATTAAGTCTACATAGGACATTAAGTCTACATAGGGACCACCAAACGCAGCATTGCCCAAACACGAATCAAGGCACATGAAAGGCACTGCAGACTAACTCAACTAGAGAAGTCAGCCATAGCAGAGCACCTGATGAACCAACCTGGACACAGCACATTATTTGAGAACACAGAAATGTTGGATCACTCTAACAACCACCATGTCAGACTACACAGAGAAGCCATTGAAATCCACAAGCATGTGGACAATTTCAACAGAAAAGAGGGGTCCATGAAAATGAACAAAGTCTGGCTACCAGTATTAAAAAAAACCTCAAAAATCAGGACAGTAAATAAAGAGCAACACTCAAAAAGCAGGAGAATTCCAGACAAGAATCAATCAGGGCCATCGAACTCCCAACAATGGATTCTCCCAGACAGGAAGCAGCCAGGCTTTGAAGCTGCAAGGCCATTCGATGCTAATCAGGGTGGCTAATTGCAACATTCACACTTGCCTCAAGCATATGAGAGTTCTTTCTCCCACCCTGGACATCTAACAGATATATAAACCTCATTTGCCCAGTTTCCAACAGACCTCACAACCTCTGAGGATGTCTGCCAGAGATGTGGGCGAAACGTCAGAAGAGAATGCTTCTGGAACATACAGCCTGGAAAACTCACAGCAACCCAGTGAATCTGGCCATAAAAGCCTTAAAAAACACAATTGTTAAGTTGTTTGTGTCTTATGATCCCACAGCATTGAGCCATGGCAGTGAGAGTGGTGCCAAACTACATTAATTCTACAGTGTAGATGCCCTGAGAGTCCTCCAGTAATAACTCAATGAGAAAAGCAGGTAAAGGGCGCTGGAGGAATGGGGATGGCTGGCTATTCATTAGAGCAGGCATGGGCAAACTTCGGCCTTCCCTCCAGGTGTTTTGGACTCCAACTCCCACAATTCCTAACAGCCTCAGGCCCTTTCCGCTTAAGCGGCTGAGGGGAAAAAGGAAAGGGCCTGAGGCTGTTAGGAATTGTGGGAGTTGGAGTCCAAAACACCTGGAGGGAAGGCCGAAGTTTGCCCATGCCTGCACTAGAGAGACTTCCAGACACCTTAATTGCGAGCTCCCTCCAGTCAGTGCCTGCAAAAAAAGCAGAGCGACACCTCACGAACTTTTTCCCATGACGCAGCTGTGAAACTTGAGCCAGAAAACTGGCAAGGCCCGGCACACTCAAAGCAAGGGAGGGCCAGGTTGTTCCTCAGGCCCTCTTCCCTCTGAAGTTGTGGGGAAAGGGCTTAATACCTTCGCCGTCTTTCCTCCAATCTCCTTCTCCTCCGAAGGCCCCAGAGAAGGGAACAGGGGCACGCCTGGCCTAACCAAACCCCAAAACGTCTCACAGCCACACACCCTCTCTCTCCCCTCTCAAAAGTCCTCCTCAAACTTCCACCGCAGGGAGCCTCACTCCTCCGCTGAGAGACAAGCGCTTCCTCCAATCGGGGCAGACTCCTTAGCGCCTAGGCCGCCTCGGATTGGTCGCCGAGGGGCAGCCCCTTCTCTGGGGCCCCGAGCGCGAGGCCGTCACGCGAGCGGGATGAGGGAGCTGTCTGCGAGCTCCCATTGGCTCTCTGCTCTCCCTCACTGCAATTCGCCTGCATTTAGGTGAAGTTGAAGTCTTCCTGGGCATGACTTTCCTTAGCAGAGACATCTTTCTGCAGCAGAGCCAAGAATGAGAGAGTTTCCTGCCGCACACAACAATTATTAGTACTAGCCACCCCCTGCCACATGTTGCTGTGGCCCAGTCTGTTTATGTGTATTTTGTGTGTATATATGTGGTATATATATATATATGTGTGTGTGTGTGTGTATATGTGTGTGTGTGTATGTGTGTATATATATGTGTGTATGTGTGTGTGTATATATATATATATATGTGTGTGTGTGTGTTTGTATATATGTGGTATATATGTGTGTATATATGTGCATACTCTCACCCAACCTTTTTAACTTGTATGCAGAACACATCATACGATGCGCGGGGCTTGATGAATGCAAAGCTGGGGTGAAAATTGCTGGAAGAAACATTAACAACCTCAGATATGCAGATGACACCACTCTGATGGCCGAAAGCGAGGAGGAGCTGAGGAGCCTTCTAATCAAGGTGAAAGGAGAAAGCGCAAAAGCTGGGTTGCAGCTAAACATAAAAAAACCAAGATTATGGCAACAAGAATGATTGACAACTGGGAAAATAGAGGGAGAAAATGTGGAGGCCGTGACAGACTTTGTATTTCTAGGTGCAAAGATTACTGCAGATGCAGACTGTGGCCAGGAAATCAGAAGACGCTTACTTCTTGGGAGGAGAGCAATGTCCAGTATCGATAAAATAGTAAAGAGTAGAGACATCACACTGGCAACAAAGATCCGCCTAGTCAAAGCCATGGTATTCCCTGTAGTAACCTACGGATGTGAGAGCTGGACCTTAGGGAAGGCTGAGCGAAGGAAGATCGATGCTTTTGAGCTGTGGTGCTGGAGGAAAGTGCTGAGAGTGCCTTGGACTGCGAGAAGATCCAACCAGTCCATCCTCCAGGAAATAAAGCCCGACTGCTCATTGGAGGGAAGGATACTAGAGACCAAGTTGAAGTACTTTGGCCACATCATGAGGAGACAGGAAAGCCTAGAGAAGACAATTATGCTGGGGAAAGTGGAAGGCAAAAGGAAGAGGGGCCGACCAAGGGCAAGATGGATGGATGGCATCCTTGAAGTGACTGGACTGACCTTGAAGGAGCTGGGGGTGGTGACGGCCGACAGGGAGCTCTGGCGTGGGCTGGTCCATGAGGTCATGAAGAGTCGGAGACGACTGAACGAATGAACAACAACAACATGTGGTTTTGTGCATGAACTGTATTGTATTTTTTTACTTTTTGGCTTTCTAAGTCTTCTGTGTTTTTCAGTGTTTTTATGAATGATGGTCACTTGTTGGCCTGATAGGTGTATTGTGTCCAAATTTGGTGTAAATTCGTCCAGTGGTTTTTGAGTTATGTTAATATATATACAGATACTAGCCACCCCCTGCCATGCATTGCTGTGGCACAGTCTGTGTATATGTGTTTTGTGTGTGTATGTGTGTAAATATGTGGTTTTACGCATGCGTTGTAATGTATTATTATTTTTGGCTTTTAAAGTCTCTTCCTCTGTGTTTTTCAGTGTTTTTATGAGTGATGGTCACTTGTTGGCCTGATAGGTGTATTGTGTTCAAATTTGGTGTCAATTCGTCCAGTGGTTTTTGAGTTATGTTAATCCCACAAACGAACATTACATTTTTATTTATTACTAGCTGTCCCCTGCCACATGTTGCTGTATATATGTGTTTTTTGTGTGTATATATTTGTGTATATATGTGTGTTTGTGTATATGTGGTTTTGTGCATGCGTTGTAATGCAGTTTAAATTTTTTTTTTTGCTTTTTAAGTTCCTTCAGCTGTGTTTTTCAGTGTTTTTGAGTGATGGTCACTCGTTGGCCTGAGAGGTGTACTGTGTCCAAATTTTGTGTCAATTCGTCCAGTGGTTTTTGAGTTATGTTAATCCCACAAACGAACATTACATTGTATTGTCGAAGGCTTTCATGGCTGGAATCACTAAGTTCTTGTGGGTTTTTTCGGGCTACATTACATTTTTGTTTATATAGACTAGCTGTACCTGCCACACGTTTCTATGGCCAACCTCTCCCCCCCCTTTCTTTCTTTCTCTCCTTGCTTCCATCCCTCTTTCCTTCCTTCCCTTTTTTCTTTCCTGCTCTCTCCCCTTCCTTCCTTCCCTCTCTTTTCTTTCCCTTCCTCTTTCTCCCCTTTCTTCCTTCTCTACCTATTCTTGGACTGCAACTCCCAGCTGTCCTCCAGATCAGTCTATCTACCTACCTACTTACCTACCTACCTATCTCAATCTAATCTATCTATCTGGAGGATTGCTGGGAGTTGCAGTCCAGGAATAGGAAATTGGAAATATGCAGGAATTGGGATGCTCTCAAAGAAATCCAAGGAGAAGAAAGCTTGCATCTTTGAAGCCATGTATTTGGATCATCCTTCTAAAGGGCCTTGTCTAGGAGACACTGGGAGCTGTAGTCTGGAAGAGAGTGTGGATATGCTATTGTGTGTTTAGTTTGGCGAGGGAGTCTTTTTTGCACACATGCTGTAGCATCTTTTTGCTTTTTTGGCTTTTTAAGTCCCTTCCACTGTGTTTTTCAGTGTTTTTATTAGTGATAGTCACTCACTGGCCTGATATGTGTATTGTGTCCAAACTTGGTGTCAATTTGTCCAGTGGTTTTTGAGTTATGTTAATCCCACATATGCCCATTACATTTTATTTATATAGATTATAATTATTATTATTATCCCGCTTTCCTTTCCTAAAGGAGACTCAAAGCGCCAAACAGTGCCAAATATAATATACTTTAAAACTTGTAAGATACACACATAGAATCATAGAATCCTAGAATTGGAAGAGACCTCATGGGCCATCCAGTCCAACCCCCTGCCAAGAAGCAGGAAAATTGCATTCATAGCCATCCAGTCTCTGTTGAAAAGCTTCCAAAGAAGGAGCCTTCACCACAGAGAGTTCCACTGCTGAATGGCTCTCACAGTTAGGAAGTTCTTCCTAATGTTCAGATGGAATCTCCTTTCTTGTAAAGGAGATCCCCTCTGAACTAAAACAGAAATATAGAACTAATACAAACACATGAAGCCATTAAAATTATTAAAATACTTAAAACAATACACTCAGCACACCCCCCCCCCCCCCCCCCCCCCCCCCCCCCCCCGAGTACTCCTTCAAAACTTTCCTCTTTAAAAGCCTGCTAGGAAGAGCAGGAGAGAAGATTAAGCAACAATTTATAATCCATCACTTTACACCAGAGGCAAAAGACTTTCAAAGATTCCAGAAAGATGACTGCAACCAGCAAAATCTCCATTTTTAATGTATTGTTTTACGTTACCTTATGATAGTTCTGCTTGGAGTTAACAGTGGCACGGTGGGCCTAAGCAAACCCCACAACTTCTCACAGCCACACACCCTCTCTCTCCCCTCTCTTGTTTCAGTAAACTCATTTGGTTATCTTTTCACCTTGCCTAAAGTGCCTCTGTGTTAAAGGGTCTTAATCTTAACAGAAAGTATCAGATAGCCCCCGAGTAAAGCCAGACAATATAGTTTCCCCAAAGACTTGGGCATGCCATCAGAACTCCCATCGTTTTTTGTAGTTCCCAATGTGTTTCCAAACTCATAGTTTCTTAAAAAAACTTGGCTTGGTTGGAATGATATTATTAAAAATACTATAAAGATCACTTTAACCATGGAAAAAATAAATAAAAATAAATACTAGATACAGAAATGCCTAATCAACATTTGGAGCATTAGTATGTGGCAAGGGGTTATTGCCCTTTCTGGTAACAACCTGAATCCTCTTCCCTGCTGCTGTTTGCCTTAGGAGGGAATATTTGATTTTCAGATTTTCTTTTCTGATATCTTGCCCATCTGGAATGGGATCAGTTATTGGTGCACAGGCCTTTTTAGTGATAGCCTCGTTGCCCCTGTGGAGTGTGCAGACATGCTTGCATTGTGCACACACTTTCTTTCAGCATCAGGCAAAATATTTTAATTTGGTAATTCTAGCATGTGCTTATTTTATCTGTTGCCCTTTGGACTTCATTGTTTCATTTTGTATTCTTTGACTAGTGCACTGTTCCTTAAATATTTACACTGAACATGGCTGTGTAGACTTTTAAACAATGAAAAATAAATATACATGGATGTATTGGATATACATGTGTCCCCTCTGCAGTTTCAGCTTTAAAATTTGAAAATTTCCCTTACACACACACATTCACAAACACTAAAGGTATTGGGTAGAGTGATTTACAAAGAGAAAAGTCAATGTAGTGTTAAATCCTCTCCCCTGCACCATTGTATTATTGGTGGTTTTATACTAGATAGTTGTCAGGGATGATTTTTGGTTCTACTAAGCTCTGTTGAGAATGCAAAGTCACCTGCACAAGTATGCCTTGATTTGCATATTCAAATGTAATTGTCTTAAATTATTGTCTCACTTTGCTTTCTGTAAACATTTGAAAGGCCATATTTTCCAAACAGAAATATTTACAGCAAACACAGTTATACAAATCATGAACATTCCCTTTAAAGGACCAAAGTATCTACTTACTCATCCTTGCAGGCAAATTAGTGGAAATAAAATATTTATCTTTCATTTTAAAAATAAAAAGTAGCAGTTTCTCTGAACATTGTCTCAGTACAGCTATTTTCCAATTAGAAATAAAATACAAATGAATGTAGAGACAGATTGAAGATTTGGGAAATCTGTGCTGAACTTTTAAAATATGAAAAGAAGGTTAAAACGTCTCTGGCGGCATTGAGAGTTTCTAGTTCTTTATGTTAATTTCCAGATTTGCACATTGTTTCTTATCCAAAATTTTCCTTGCTCCTGCTCTTCT